GGGGGGGGGGGGGGGGGGGGGGGGGGGGGGGGGGGGGGGGGGGGGGGGGGGGGGGGGGGGGGGGGGGGGGGTGCGGTAGTCGTGTGTTACTTTGTATGGATCGGGGAACACAACAGGCGGGCCAATAGGAAAGGAACCAAACGGTTTAAGCGAGAAAAACAAACGCAAATAAATATTATAGCCGAACAACATCACAATATTCCTTTCCGCGGGGTCCCCCGACATGCCGCCGCCAAGAAATGGCCTTGGCAAGGATCCATCCTCCAGATCGAGAGCACCTGCAAAAGAAGGCGCAGCATCCCTACTGTGTGTAGCAGCTCGTTCTCGGGGCTCAACATTGTATCAAGCCGTTAATCTCGTCGTGGAGAGGGTGTCAGCGCTTGTGGTTATGTTGTTGCGGTACAAACGTGCTCTGCTGGGTGGGCGATCGGATGGTCGCTCGTGTTTCGCCAGGGCGAGTCGAGCGAAGGGATTTGATCGGATAGGTGAGGAAAAGGGGAGTGAGAAGGGGAGCAGTAGAGAGATAGATATGGAGATATGGAGAGAGGAAGAGAGGGAGAAAGGGAAGAGAGAAGAGAAACAAGGAGATGGATAGAGGAAGAGAGGAAGAGCGGAAGAGAGGAAGAGAAGGAAAGAGAGTGAGAGAAGAGAAACAAGGAGATGGATAGAGGAAGAGAGGAAGAGCGGAAGAGGGGAAGAGAAGGAAAGAGAGTGAGAGAGAGAGAGAGAGAGGGCGAGCTGCATCGTGTCTTGCTTCGCCCCCGCGATACAGTTGCTGTTCCACCAGGCTCTCCCTCATATCGTCACACTTGCAACGTAGCTGCTCCTTCGTCGCGACAAGGCACGGTTGCTGTCGATCGTGATGATGCGATGTCATACTGTGGCGATTACCTTGTGGCATTGCGTCTACCCGCTCCTTATCGGCATCAAAACTGTGGTTCGTCCTCGAAGAACATACCGCACACCAAATTCTACACACCAGGTACACCTCGCAGCAGCAAGCGCATCGAGGGTGTCTATGGGGTGGCCGCTGCTTTGCTGCCATGCCAAGACTGTAACTCCCCCTGCCGTCGCCGCTGCTACTGCTACAGCGTCGCCGCCGGTTGCGGTGTCCACGGAGTGACACTCGTAACCAACGCAATCGTCGTGGACAGCACTGACTGAAGCCTCAACACGCTTTTTTAAACATGTGCATCATTTGCATACCTCTTCGTCGGAGCAATGCGCGGTGACGTCGTTTACCCCGCCAATGGAGATGAACCTGGCGGGGTCTACCGCGTTTCGCGTCGGATTCAGTTCCTCCTTGGGGGTTTTCCGCCATGCCTGACAGGCGGAGGGGAGGAGAGGATATGGGGACGGGGGCGTTGACAAACATGCGGGGATACATGAAGTATGAGAGACGGTGTGACTACCCAGTCCTTCCGGAGGAAATGCCGGACGGAAAAGCAACGATGCAACGCGCCCTGTAAAGGTACACCGGGAGCGCGAACTGGCAGGGGGGATGGCAACACATGCCTGCGGGAAGTTTCTTGTCTCTGGTTGAGGGAGAGAGAAATTCCTCCAGGGAATGGGTTCGGAGGCCAATACAAGGGCAGCCGTGCGTACGGCGGCCAAAGAAGCGGCGGCGGTAGCAGCCGAACGTGCAGCTCGCGTGCCGTGGGCGAATCAAGCCGCAGACGCGGTGGGTGGGTGCGCACCCGGAGGGGCGTCGGGGGGGGCAGCTCGCATGCCTGCTTGCGCAGCTGGGGCGGCAGCGAGACTGCGATGGGGGCTGTAAGCAGGTCTGTCGGTGGAGCTGATGCCGGGAGTGGCGGTGAGCGCTACAGGAAACGGCAGGAGTCCAGCTTAACCCTCCGACTCGGGGGCGGTGGGGCCCACTGTGCGAGCTGATACGTAGGATTGCACACCCGACTCAGGCCTGTCTGCGAGCAGCAATGAATCATCGTCCTTTCTCACTGGTTTTTGTCCCGTTTTGTGCGTGTCGGTTGGGAACGCTGAGGTTTGAGTGTCAATTTGGTGTTGCAGACTTCGGTGATATATCTCGTAAAACGAACGTACTGCTGTTAAAGGTGAAAAAAACTTGGGTGCGACTCATGGGTCATCGTTATCATTAGGAAATTGGCTGACAAAGTTGATGATGAAACTTTGTGTGCGCTCAGGGACAAGCGACGTGTGTTGGAGAACGCCATGTTGAATTTGCCGGGCAAATTTGCATGGCATGCATGTATGGATTCTATTTTGACAAGGATCGTGTGTGATTATCGGGCTGAAATCCGTTTCATGATGAACACAGGAAACCAAAAACACAACGTAAGCGTCAGTCCCCCTAGTGATGCAAATGTACCGAGACTACCCGTTTACATCGCCAACAGGGAGTGTACCATAGCGTCTATGTGCCACCGATCGTCAAACATTCCATCAAGTTCCCGTGACCTTTAGAGAGTTTGGGCGAGGCGCCGCGGCGGGACACCAGCATCACGTCCGCAACGTATTTCTCGGAGCGCCATGGAACTGAGGAATCTTTTGACGCCGACATTATCGGTTCGCGTTCGCATCCTCTGTGGTTGACATCGGTTGGATTTGGACACGCTTTCTTGGCATTCGTATGACACATGTGACATCCTGGCGGGGGGAGTTGAGGATGAATTTTCTCTGATATTGGCTTTGGACTTTGATCACTTGTGACAGAATGTTTCAAGGCTACTGGTTAGGTGTTTTGATGACCGATTGGAGGTAAGAGCACGTCCAACCTTACGCGACCGCCCTGTGGGGGGATCCCTACGAGTAGAAAGCGTGCCCGAATACTCATGCCCAGGTGCTGGGACTGCCGTCTTGTCATTAGCCAGCCGTTCAGCGCGGTCGACGCCGGATAAAATGCACACAAAGACCAAAGATTTGATGACACCGATCTTCCTTTACCATGGTCGATACCACGACCAATCAAAAATATCCCCACACAGCCGCCACTGCTTGTTTTCTCATTGGTCGGCGGGGTAAGGGTAGCGCGGTTCGAAGCAAAACCTGCAGCAAACCACAAAAAGCAAACCCGCCAAACTCTTTCCCGCCCCCATGGGACGCTCGCTCACCGATAAACATGACGACATCTGCGCCAGGCGCTCAATGACGCAGTGGTAGCGAGTGCCGTTCTTCGGGTCGGCCCTACGTTCGTACACGCTCTCGCCGCCGTCGCCACCGCCACCGTCTCCGCCACCGCGGGGGGAGTGCGCCGACTGGTCACCCGGTGCGCTGGGGAACAGAGCGACGGACTTATGGTACGAGAGTATGGCCGCCCGCGTGTCCTGCGGAAACGGAACCAACGGAAACGACATGTCGACAACCGTGGATGATGCGGTAAAATTGGACCTGTACACAGCAGTACCGCCCTGGGAGAAAAAAATGCGTTCATTTGAGCAAAACACAAGGGGAAAAACGTAAATGACCGAGGGATACATGTGCAGTTGCGACGCATTTCTGGTGTTCACACACCGCAACACCGGCCGCCTTGTTGATGATCCTCTTTGCGCGACTGACCGATTATCACAAGCCGCGATAGAGACATGGCGAAAATTCTCCGAAAGTAGTCACGGCTTTCCGTCACATTGTGTCTCGGCCGAGACACAGACACCTACGAAGGCAACAAACTGAACAGAAACTTCTTGGTGGACGACAACTGCCGTCGCGTTGTGCAAGCGGTTTCGTCGCGACCGCATATCTGCAGCAGCAGCAGCAGCAGCAGCAGCAGCAGCAGCAGCAGCAGCAGCAGCAGCAGCAGCAGCAGGCTGTACTCACAACGTCATCCGGGAGGGATCTGTAGGCCGAGACGAATAAATTGTTGGCCATGCCTTCGAGGCGTTCCACCTTGCGCGCGTGCTGTTCCCCCTCTTCCTTCAGCCTTGCTGCCTGGTTGCCGCGCAAATCACGTTAAAATAAAACGAGAAAGCATGAAGTAGAACACATAGCTCTAGTCTGATGATTCTCATCACATGGCTGAATGTTGAATGTGACGCCAGACGCACACATTGTTTCCGCAGTCAAAACGTTCCAAGACAAGCACCTCGAGAATACCATAGCATCTTCCGGTGTGACCGAAGTGTTTGCTCAACTCTCTAAATTTTTACGCTTCACAAAATCAAGGAAAGACTACTCGGTCGAGATATAACCACTGGCCCAAGGGGATGGGCTAGGAAATATACAATAAAAGCAAGACTACCGTTGAAGATTAAACCACAGCCGAAGGGGATGGGTTAGAAACATGAAACTTATGCATACATACCAATTGATACAACGAAAAAGAGATTAATTGGTTCACCACAAGCAGTCGAAGGGGGTGCGCTCAAGTATTCGTAATGAGTGGGAGAACCACCTGCCAACAAAGAAAGGAGCGCGACCAATATATAGTTCCGATATCAAGGACAAAATCTAGGAGCAAACAGGGCGAAATCTAGATGGAAAGTCGGTGATGTCTGTGTGTATTTTTCGTACCGTGTACTCTATTACTACTTGCCACACTTTTCGGCATGTTCTTGACACGCCAGCCGAGGTGACACAGAACGAAGACAAGCATAAGTTATTTTTCGATATCCACGTTCCCCCTGCGGTAGATGCTTGCTTGCAATCTTACGCGAGAAGGGTGCGTGCAGCATTTCCATCTCGTCTTGGGGGAAAATGGCGAACGTGCGCATTCGGTATTGGAGGGAATTCGACCGGGACCACAATATCATGTGGGAAAGGAAGATCACAGCTTCAGCAGGCCGTCTCAGTCTGCACAGTGAGAACTTTACCATAGCCGAACCAACAGTGGAATAGCACGGCCGATCCCCAACACGCAAGGAACAACAGCTTGAACATCGCTTGTAAGTAAAAAAAGGTTGTTGTAGCTGTTGTCCTGGTCCTACTACAGTAGCTGTGTTGGTGCCCGTCAACAAGCAACAGCAACCCCCCCCCCCCCCCCCCCCCCCCCCCCCCCCCCCCCCCCCCCCCCCCCCCCCCCCCTTCTAGACTTAAGTGGGTTGGCGCTGTTGGCAAAGCGCTGTAAAACACGCCACCCCAAATATAGCCCCCATAGTAAGCGCTACCAAAGACGCGTGACGCATGGACGAGTGGAGTGAGGATAGCTGTTTACGGAAACCTCACAAGTTGAGTGATGTAGGAGATTGCCGGGCACATAGACGCTTTGAGTGAGGAAAGACACATACTGAAACCTCACAGGTGATTTGCATTGCAGATTGCCGGACACATAGACGTGTTGAGTGAGGATAGCTGCATACTGAAACCTCACAGATGCATTGGTTTTTGAGTTTGTCGGACACATAGACGCGTTGAGTGGGGATAGCTTCATACTGAAACCTCACGAGTCGAGTGATGTTCGATTGTGCCAGACACATAGACGCTTTGAGTCAGGAAAGACACATACTGAAACCTCACAGGTGATCTGCATTGGAGATTTCCGGACACGTAGACGTGTTGAGTGAAGATAGCTGCATACTGAAACCTCACAGATGCATTGGTTTTTGCGTTTGCCGGACACATAGACGCGTTGAGTGGGGATAGCT